TGGAGCACATCACCCACCGAGTGCTTATTGTTCGATAAAATATGTGACAATATATGCTCAATACATCCGAGGGCGTAGAAAGGGGTCCTTTTTCTTACATAGCTTAGAAGTGCTGCCAGAGTAACAAGAATAGACAACATTGAAACTGAAGCAATTAGAAGACAAATAATGACTGATTCTACTATACCTGTTACTTTCATTTAAAGAACATATTAAAAATAGTCATCTGCAATACTGATCCAGCAACAAGTGTTATTCTCAAACAATTGTCACAGCTATAAGTGTTATTCTCGTGAGAGTTATCTCCGGTAAGTGTTGTTATAAACTGTTTTATCACTCAGGGATCCCATTTAGTACAGGGTCAGTTTGCATTTGTGGTTAGCGGCTTATTGCGGTTTGTAGGTTTGGCTACATTTAAATAGTGTTTAAAAGCTTTACTTGAATGTTTAAAAAGCAAAAGGCTTTTAAATTGTACTGAACCAACACGTTTGTACACCAGTTTAGCATGTTGTAGAATTAGGAATTGATTTTTGGCGTCTCTTGGGTGCGCTGTGAATCCCTGCAATGTGGGTGCATTTGTGTCTTTGTTTATGTTTTTTCTTTTTGTTTCCTTCTCTGCACTAGAGTGTAGAGCTAGCTTAAGAGCGTCGTTTTATTTTTAGGGAACTCTTTATGTACACAACGATTATCTGGTGTTTTCTGTGTGTTCCGTGATGCAGATTTTCTGGCGACACAAGCAACAGTTACAGGGACAAAGGACAAAGGACTGGACAAAGGATACATTCTGAAGACCATTTCTAAACGTAAAATTGAGGACCCTTTTCGATGCCTTCAGGCGTACTGTACACATAGGACAAGATCTATTTTTTAAAAAACCAAACAGCACTATGTGGGTGGTGAGGTCAGCATCATGCCGGGCGCCTTTACTTCCCAGGACTGCACCTAATACCCACTCAAAGCTGGGTCAACCTGGGAGCCAAGGTCATTTTTGACAAAGGTCAGGCTTCGATAGGACCCGAACCAACGACCTTCCGATCCGCGGACCAAGGTCTAGCCACTACATCACGGCAGCCCCTCATTTCTGAACGCAAGCTGGTAAAAGACGCAGGTCTAGATTTAAAAAAAAACACTTGTAAGAATGTGTGAACGATGAGTTAGGTGTGGATCAGGCAATTAAACAAGGCGTTAGACAGGGGTGTGTACTTACACCTGATTTTTTCCATTTGTACAGTGAAAGAATAATTAAATCCATACATGATATGCCAGGAATATCGGTCGGTCGGTTGGTGTGTATATTGTTAACAACCTGCGATACGCTAAAATCCATACATGATATGCCAGGAATATCGGTCGGTCGGTTGGTGTGTATATTGTTAACAACCTGCGATACGCTAAAATCCATACATGATATGCCAGGAATATCGGTTGGTGTGTATATTGTTAACAACCTGCGATACGCTAAAATCCATACATGATATGCCAGGAATAGCGGTCGGTCGGTCGGTGTGTATATTGTTAACAACCTGCGATACGCTAAAATCCATACATGATATGCCAGGAATAGCGGTCGGTCGGTTGGTCGGTGTGTTGGTGTGTATATTGTTAACAACCTGCGATACGCTAATGATATTGTTTTGATCGCTTAAAATGAAACAATTGCAAGAAATGACGGAAAGTAAAAACAAGGGTCTTAGTTTGAACAGCAGAAAAACAGAAGTAACTGTAATTACCAAGAAAACTGACCCCTCCAAAATGCAAAATCAGAGTCAATGGACAAACCTCAAGCAAGCTGATATGTTTAGGTACTTGGATACCCTGATAACATCAGATGGAAGATGTATTAGGGAAGGTGAATATCGAATATCTCAAGCAAAGGCAACATTTTACCAAATGAAGAATATTTTATGCAATCATCCTTTGTCAGTTGAGACGAGAAAGAGAATTCTTAAAAGCTAAATTAATCATATCTTGATATATGGAAGCGAATCATGGACAGTTAGTAAATTAGTGAAAACCTATTTTGAAGCTGCGGATGTGTGGTTTTATAGATGAATGATGAGAATATCCTAGACAAATAAAAAGAGTAATGAAGATGTATTGAAAGAAAGTGACTCATGAAGAGAACTGATTACCCACATCATAAAGAGACAGTCTGCATTCTACCCTGATATCATGAGGAGGAGAAAGTCGGATACATCGTGACAGTAAGAAAGTTGAAGAGGAGAGGCAGGGGGAGACCGAGATAAAAGACCCTGGACAGTTTGACATCATGGCATGGAAGAGAATCTGTGTCAGAGTTGAATAAAAGTACACGAGACAGAAGTTTGTTGACAGACATGACTCCCAACACCGCAAGGCATGGACTTTAACCAGAAGAGATAAAGTACACATTTTCTAAAAGAGAGCTATTGACTTTGGTCGTCATGGGCTTAAAGCATTCCTATGCGAAAATTAGAACAATTTAAAAAAAATCAATTCAATAATAATTAGGCAGATGAGTTACATCGTTATGTAGTGCAACATTCGGCTAGGGTAAAGTACTGAGAAACTTCTGGATAATCAATATATTCATAACAGACACTCGTTCTGATGTCAGGAGCGACTGGCCCAGTGGTTAAAGTAACAGGATCTCATACAGGAGTTCTCGGATCGATCATCGATAAAGGATGAAATGTGGATATATGAAATGTTGTATAGATACACAGGACCGTGGGGTAGTATGATGCAAGTGTTCGAAATGCTGCCCCTCAAATGTTGTGGGGGAAACAAGAATAGACCCTCTGCCTTCTAAACAAGCATGTTGTAAGAGTCGACTAATTGAGGGTTCCTGCATACAAACAAGTGAGATTTGTAAAACGGGTGTGCACGCAGCACTTGGGTTTTGGGACAAGTTCTACAGTCCAGAGGTGGATGAACAACCAGAACTTTTCGCCGGAGTTTACAGCAGGTGACCGCGAAGAAATTTTTAAAATATATTTTGATTTCGCAGCTTATGCCATCCCCTTTACGGTGTTCCCTGATGTGGCTGACTCTCTGTATCATAGTACGGCATGGCCCTGGATATACAGAAGAATAGTTCGCATTTTATGGGGGGGGGGGGGGGGGGGGGGGGGGGGGGAGTCAAACTAGAGGCTCTGGGGGGACTCCGGATGAAAAGGGATTTACGGAAAGAAATTGAAATAAGACAATATGTCAGCCACACTACAAGAAATAACATTCTTTTAAAAACCATATTGGAGAGAAAAGTCGAAAACGAAAGAAAGCAAGAAGTAGACAGCGATACAAGTGAGAGGACAACATTAAGAGGCGGACAAACAACAGTCTAAGAGAGTGTACTACCAAGACAAGAGACATCTAGTGTTGTAGATCGTTGGGGTTACCCTTTTTTGTGGCGGCGGCACCTGAGTTTTTTTAATGAAGGGATACAGATTCTTTGTCGTAGAGAGGGGAGAAAATCCTTACCCTGACAGTTTGTGGCGACCGTGGCCTTAAAACGTCCTGTCTAACACTGCCCTAAACGTTGTCAATACAAACAATAATGCCATATTTAAGATGGTTGGTCAATGGTACAAAACATAACTTGCATTTAGGATTTACCTAAGACATTTTATCCCATGCAGCAAATTAATTAAGAAAAAGAAGGTCAAAGGATTTGGTCATTGAGTAAGAATACAGACAGAACCACTATCAATGTGGGCGCTACACATGAAATGATCTGCAGTGAAGGCAAGAGGCTGTCCTAGGAGAAGATGGACTAACGACATCAAAGAGCTTCTACATCAACACGGAATGAAAGTAGCAATTGCTGCTCATCAAGCAATGGATCGCGAACTGTTCCTCCCGACAACGCTTAATGGCAGACGTAGAAACTGATGATGATGATCAAAAGACATTTCATGCAAGTTGTTTCAATTTTCCTTTTCGCTTTTGGCGTAGACAGTACAAATGCCGCTCCTTGAAATGTACTTGTGAATCCTCTCGCATTACTATTGTATTTACAATTATAATTTTGTACTTTTACCCTTCTAAGTTATTTTTGATATTGTTAACACCTACTGTTTGGGATAACTGATTGTTAAGGTATTTTTATTACCTCTATATGGTCTACTTTAACAAAACGGATAATGTATTATTATGCATTTCTAATTTCATACTGTAAAAGGTCACTATTCTATTTAGCTCTAAGCCAATGACAACAACATAAGAAATACATCCTGTATATTTGTAAACATTTTCAGTATACGTCAAAGCAGACAAGAAATGTCTCAAAATAGGTAGTCATTTATTTCTACTAGTAATCCTACAGAAATTAGAGAACAACAAACAAAACAAAAATCCATAACAAAATGCATCACTCTCTGCCAAGTAAGGAGATTTCAGACATCACATACACATCCGAAGCAGGGCTGCCGAAGTTGGTACTTTCGTTTACATTTGGTACTATTTTACCATTGTCAAGCACAACTGTACTTGTGGTACCACACCTAATGTTTTAATACGTTTCAGAAATAGTGCATATTTATTTTAAATTTGAACAAAAGCTTTGAAAAAATTGAGGTATTGAGGCAAACGTACAATTTGACGTGACTGGTCATGGGGCGCCCCCCCCCCCCCCCCCCCCCCCCCCCCCCCCAGTTTCAAATACAAAATCTAGGAGTGTCTTTCCAGACAACTGGCAGATGATTCTCTCTCTTTCTTGTTTTTTTATCGCAGTTTCACACTGCATGTAACCATATACGTATGTGTATATACTCACCTAAATACGATTTTAAAAAAGTTTAACGGTGTTTAAATTTTGAAATTAAAAATGTGGTACCTTTTGGTGTATTTTGGTACCTTTTAAAAATATTTGGTACTATCCACCCCCACCCCCCCCCCCTCCCACACACACAAAAAAGCCCCAATTTCGACAGCCCTGGTCGGAAGCTACATGAAGACAACTCAGATATTCACGACGACATACACATGAAGCTTGAAGTCATGTCGTCCTAAGATGGCAGTCACATGAGAGGCTCTTCCGCAGACATGGTTCCGCAGATCATCCCGCAGACTTCGTGTCTCTTCTTGCACTCCGTGTAGTCTTTTCCTGTTGCTGAATTCTGGGCGCACTGAACAAACTTGGGTACACACTCTCTGACGTAGCACACTGGAGACAACAAGTGGATATAAAAATAAGTCAAGTAAATCCATGAACTAGCTTAACGGGTCATGTTCGACAAAGCCTGCAGTTTTTACTGGATATATAAAGTCAAATAAATCCATAAACTAACTAAACAGGTCGCGTTGGACATAGCCTGCAATTTTCATTGGGTAATTTCCTTGAAAATAAAGGCGAGCGGCCTGATTTTGGCCGCATTGCCCATTGAGCGCCGATTGGTCTATGAAAATATACATCTAATATCATATTACCGATGCGCAACTGGCTTATATAAACGGGTATAAGACAAGATATTGGACACATCCTTAGTAGAAGCTGGTAGAGAATCGCCAAACAGGTACTGAAATTGGAAACAAATTGTACTTGCAAGTGAAGTGTCCATTCACATTATATCTTCTTCTTCTTCTTCTTCACTTCCTCTTTTACCGCTGTGGGTGTCGAGGGAGATATAAGGTTATGACTCTAGCTCTTCTGACCGCCTCGACCATAGGCACACCGTGCTGTTGTAGAGTTTCTCTGATGTTATCCTTCCGTATTGTTCTTGGTCTACCCCGTGCTCTACGCCTTCTTCTCTTTCCATGTATGCTTTGTATGGTATGGTGTCACAAGGCATTCTCTCTAAGTGGGCAAACCATTTCACTTGCTGTCTTCGTATGTAATTTAGAATTGGTTCTGTGCCGACTTTTTCTCCTATAATCTCATTCCTGATCCCATCTCTTATGGTCACTCCCACAGCCCTACTCGGACATCTCATTTCCATGGTTACTAATTGTCTTTTATGGTTTGTTGTGAGTGACCATGTCTGGCACTGGTAGCACAGAGTTGGAATAAATATGCTTCTTTATCCAATTTCCCATCTTCGGTAAATGTAGTTCCCAGATATTTAAACTCAGATGCCTGTTTAATGCCCTTGAACTCTATTGCTATGTTTAGATCTGTCTTCTTTTTTCCTATTGACATTACTTCCGTCTTTTCAATATTGATTCTCATATTATTTGCTTTTCATTCTTTATTCATGGTTGTTAGATGTTGTTGTAATTTCATGGCTGTATCTGCTATCAAGGCCTGGTCATCTGCAAAGAGTAATTCGTTAATCTTACTAAAATTTTCATTCATGGGCTTGGCATTCTTGCATATACTGTCAATGTAGGTGAATAACAGTCGTCAGTAGAAATTATCCTCGTCGACACGCGTTTCGGCCCACGATTCCTAGACGGATTCAGAGGTGGGCCCTCCTGAGTTCATGAAGCTCAGGGCTGGTTCCCCGCTGCACGGAATTACCGGATGGTGTTATTCTTTCGGCCAGAGACAAGACGACTTGGTGGTTTCGCAGGAAGTACTGTGAGATAAGAAGTCGACACGGCAGCCTAATTAAAGCAGTCAGCATGCCTGGACGACCGAGCGACAAGCTTACTTTGGTTTACCGGACACATGTTGGACTTTTATTAGCAGTTGGCAGAGGAACACGATGGACTTTTAAGGGGTGAGAAACCCTTTTCCACTAGAGACCCGGACCAGCTCACCGAGGCCCGTCCCCTACGCTGTTGCGCTGCGTCCAAAGCCAGCTAGAGGCCCTTTCGGCTACCTCTCCCAGTTTTTTGAGTGTTCGTTTCCGTTCATTACCGCGCAATCCTAGTTCTTTCACCACGTTGTAGAGCGCAGTGGAAACGAGGCCTCTCGCTCCCACTTCGACGGCAAACACCCGTACTGTGTACGCCTCGTTTCTCCTCAGACCGGCTGCTAAATCACTGTACTTCTCGAGCTTGTACAAATGATTCTCCTCCATACGCGACTCAAACGGGACAGTCAGCTCAATCAGGATGAGCTGCCGTTTTTGCGCAGAATGGAGAACGATGTCCGGTCGCAGGCGGTTTTACGGATCAACCTCGGGGTACCGTCCTGGCCTGGCAGATCAACCACCAGTAACCAGTCCCTCACAGAGTCTAGCACAGATGGAGCGAATGCGTTTTGGTTGACCTTACCTTTTGGAACCTGCCCAGCCTTGAGGAAACGAATGGGGACGAATGCTAGAACTGGCTCTGGCGTTAGCCCTCATTCTAGCCTGGTCGACAACGGCTGCTAAACTCTTTTAGCACCTTGTTGTGTCGCCAGGTGTATCGGCCTTGACCTAGGGCTTTCCTGCACGCGGACCGGACGTGCTCAAGAGTTTTGCTTCGATTTACACAACGGGCAAGTCGGATCGTTTGGTCGCAGACCATTTAACCATGTTAACCACCGGACGGTAATACATCGTACGCCGAACGAACGATAAAAGCTCAGTCGCAGCGGGGTCATCCGCCAGATCTCAACCCATGTGAGTACTCTTGGCAATGCGCTCTCCAGGCTGACCCAATGGCCCTGCTGCGACTGCTGGGCTGCTTTCTGGACCCGAACCTCGTTTTCGTGTCCCCTCACCGTTTGTATTACACCATGTCTCGGCGTTCTTTGGCTGAGGCCTTTGACCACCAATTGACTTTCCCGTGCCCTAGGCCTCGACGGTCGGTTTGTGTGTATCCCATAATTTCTTTCAATTTTAGTGCGTTCTGGGCAGATTTTATCGCATCGAGGACCCTCCACTTCTGACCAGTCTTTAGAGCGGGCTGGACAGCGATGACATTTGGGTCTGAAGACTCGCGTAAGAGCATGGCGAGCCTTACCTTGCCGACTTTAAACTCTTCGGTTATTGATTTGAACGGAAGTACCAGCTTAGCCTGTTTCACGTCGGTCAGACAAGGCTGTGCACCAATCCACTTTCTCAAGGCTGTGTTGATTTTCTTCTCCATGGTTTCCACTGCAGTCATCGTCACCTCGTAGACTAACAGTGGCCATAGGAGCTTTGGAATCAACATGAATTAAAAATTAAACTATGGGTAGAAAGATCCAAGGCTGTGAATACCAGCATCCAAATAGCAGACACTATAGCTGGCACCTGATGCCTCTTTAAAGAGCGGTAAAAGAGGGATTAGAGTAAAGAAGAAGACAAGCAAAACTTCCATAACTGAAGTCAAGTGATCCCCAAAAGACACAGGTATTTTCCTATCTAATTATCAACTGTGTTTAACTGACTGATATAGGTATAAAATGAAAATAACGATTAGCTTTCTCCTTGTAAAGTAAAAACAAACAAAGAATCAAAAGGGTTGGGGTAGTCATAAAACATATATTGAATGTTGGTGTGAAATGTGGAGTCATCACATATTCTAGGCTAAAGAATAATGAAGTAGCCTTGACATTGCCCCCCCCCCCCCCGCCCAATCCCCACCCAACCCCAACCGACACGATGTCGCCGTTAAATTCCAATATTAGGCTAGAAAATTCCAATTCAAGTATCCCCGTGTTTGAGCTATATTGTCCCATAGCCGTGGTTTTGACGAACAAATGAATTCGTACACCTCTAAGAACTAAAGCTGAACATCTACAGTACAGTGGATTCCGTTGTATTGTGGAGTGCTCGGAAATGACAGAGATGATCCATTGGCAGGGAAAGGTGCGACAAAAGAGCACTAATCATCTTGTAAAGCAAACTGTTTATTCGCCTTGCCACACTGACTTCTTGTAATTACAACATTCTTCATCGTGCTTCTGGAACGTACGCATTATACCCACTTGTGACTTGCATCCCCATACCTCATTGCTCCCCCGCCCCCACTTTTTACACCCTTATTTTTCACGATTGTAGTTGTAGGATTTACGTCTCAACGATGAGAAATAAACAGGTAGAAATCCAAGAAACCCTGTATAGTCGTACAGGCATACAGCGCAGTTATACTGGGGCACCATAATACGGTTATAAAGTAAACTGTAAATCCAGTGTTGGTGGGTTATTTTGTCAGATCCCCCGTTATTAACCCTTTCATGCCCAGACTGTCGCATTCTACGCGAGCGTTTGTTAGTTAAATGAAACAAGTGCCAGCTCTAAACATGCCTGTACCATCAACTGGAATTGTTTGTCTTTTATTAAACGGATGTGGGAGTTGGACTCTCACCGTGGAAAGGGAAAATGGAAAGAGGATTCAGGCCTTTGAATATAACTACTATAGACACATTTTACGAATTAGCTATTTAAAACTTCAAGGAAAAACAAATAGGTGGGAGACAAAAATAAGCACATTTGCAGAACATTGAGAGCCTCTTTTGGCAGTGGTGAAACGTCGCAAGCTAGCCTGATTCGTGCATGTGGTGATGAGATATGATTCGATCAACTGGCAGAGAAAGTTGCGACAAAAGAGCAGCCGGAATACCAGTTGCGTACAGCCAACACAAAATGATAATCAAATCAACCACAAGACCACCAGACACAGAACAAGACGACTACTGTATTTTGGAAAAATCCAGATCAAGTCATTTCCTGTGCCTCAGAGCAGGACACAACCAACAACGCAGCCACATATACACACAATGTAAAATGAAGAGCAATATGCATATGTGGAAAGTCGCCCCAGACAGCAAAACACAAACTCTACGACTGCACCGAAAATAACACAGTGTGCAGACCTTTTGGTTAAACAGAACAACAGTAGAAAGTAAACTGTACGGACCATTGACAGAACTAAAAGTGACAGTAAAATCTACACGACAGACAAAAAATAGCAGTTTTAGACAACTGTGCAGACCTTTTGGTTACACAGAACAATAGTAGAAAGTATACTGCAGGGACCATTGACAGAACTAAAAATGACAGTAAAATCTACACGACAGATAAAAAAAAATTGCAGATTTAGACAACTTTTTTTTTTTCAGGCGGTGTATGTTAACTGTACTAGAATGACGGGTGACTGATTATGTTACAAATGGCGTGTAATTTTGAGAGTGCAGGACCCGTTTATGTTAATAACTGTCAGAAATCTGTACAGTCAATGTTAGTCATGTGGCGGTGTAGACCATAGAGACGATGTACCGTGTGTAGGGGTAGAACCCAGAGTTGTCGCACAGGTCAGCACGGTGGATGGTATGACTGTCTAGGTATGTGCTGTAGTAACTTAGGGGGA